AAGTATTGCCTGATTCTTGACAAAGATCTCACATTTTTCTTTTCTTTTTCCTTCTTTTTTTTCCCTTCTTTCTTTCCCTACCTCTCTCCCTTCTTTCCTCCCTTCCTTCCTTTTGTTTTCTTTTGTTTTTTCTTTGAGTTTTAACCACATTCCCGGAAAGCTTGATCTCTGGTTCTAAATTCCTGCTCTCTAATCAGTTGCAAACTGTTCATTTTGCACTGTCTTTCCTATGTCCACAGTCTCTAGCTTTAATCCTAAAAAACAAATTAGTACCAGAGACACTGTTACCCAATTAAAAATTTTGTAATAGTACTGGGTTTCAGAATTTCAGACTTTTGCCACTGACTCGGACATCCCGATTTCTCACCATGTCATTAACTCTTTCCTAGATCATCAGTTGCAAGGCCTCTTGGATACCTTGCTATGGTCTAGTTGTAGCACCTTCTACCAGCACCTGGGTGGTCAGTGCCTCACCCACTTCAGGAATAGTCTTTCTATTGGATTCATTCCTACAATATGTTCCATCTCACTGTATAAACCAGGATCATCTAGCCAAATTTCACCTACATATTAAATAAATGTGTTATTATGTAAGAAAATCAAAAGCAGAAACAGGTTGGGAAGTCTATGAAATGTTCCAAAAGAAATGCATAGCATATCGATGCTTAATTAAAGTAAAGCAAAAGAGTATTTTTATTTGAGCAGTCAAACTGCTACCATATGGGATTATATAATTGTAAGTATATTTTTCATTTCTTGACTCATTTATTTTTTCCATTTAATAACAAATTAATAACTTAAATCATTTAACTTGGGCTTTTAGAATCTCTTCTATAAAGTGATAAATTATTAACTCAGAAAGGAAATTTTGAAAAGTTTTTAAAACTTTGAAAAATTCTTTGTTTCCTTAAGATTATATAAAAATTTGTTTTGATGGTCCTGATTTGTTTGTTAAGTTATTAAAACTTTATATAAACAAGACTGACATTAAGTGTCTTGAAAAATTATGAAAAATAACTGTGAAAAAACAAACTTCAAAATGTTTTATTTTCAGAGAATCAGAACATGTGGTTATTGGTATAGTTATCTTAATAACGATAAAAGAATATTTTACATTTTAAAGTTTCCTACCTAGTTTTCACACATATATGATCAAGTTTTTTTGAAAAAGTAAAACACATTTAGTAAATATATTTCTTACACAGTTGCATTTATTAGTTCCTTCAAGTGACATACTCCATATTAAGTGGCTAGTAATCCACAAGGCAGATACTAGACATAGATTTTTTTTCGTCATGGTAAACATATATTTTCAGAATTCAGTAAACTTGGTGGCTGAGTTATTGTTTTACTATAGGTCTTATATGATTTCCCAACCCAGTGGCTGTGACGAAATGTATCCCTATACTCACTAAATCATTGTTTCTTGTTTTCATTTATAGACCTGGAAGAAGTCAACAATAAGAGATGAAAAATCAAACATCTGTGTACGAGTTCATTCTTCTGGGATTAACAAATGATCCAAAGCTAAATATTTTGATTTTTGTATTTCTATTTTTTACATATATACTGAGTGTAACTGGAAACCTTATCATTATTACCCTCACTCTTATAGATTCACACCTCAAAACACCCATGTATTTCTTTCTCAGGAATTTCTCTTTCCTTGAAATCTCATTCACAACAGTTTGTATTCCTAGATTTCTAGTCAGCATTGCAACTGGGGATATGACCATTTCCTATAATTCTTGTATGGCTCAGGTGTTTTTCTTCATACTCCTTGGTTCAACAGAATTCTTTCTTTTGACTGCTATGTCCTATGATCGTTACGTAGCCATCTGTAAACCATTGCATTACACAGCAATAATGAGCAAAAGAATCTGCATCCAGCTCGTAGTTAGTTCTTGGCTGGCTGGATTTCTCATTATCTTTCCGCCTGTGATTATGGGGCTTCGGTTGGATTTCTGTGACTCCAACATCATTGACCACTTCTCCTGTGACTCTTCTCCTATGCTACTGATCTCCTGCACAGACACAGCATTCTTAGAGCTCATGGGATTTCTCCTGGCAACGATCACTCTCATGGCAACATTAACATTAGTGATTCTTTCCTATATATTCATCCTTAAGACAATTCTGAAAATCCCCTCTGCTGAGCAAAGGAAAAAAGCCTTTTCCACTTGTTCCTCACACATGATTGTTGTCTCCATTTCTTACGGAAGCTGCATTTTCATGTATGTCAAAACATCAGCAAAAGAAGGAGTGGCTTTGACCAAGGGTATAGCAGTGCTCAATACTTCTGTTGCCCCAGTGCTAAACCCTTTTATTTACTCCCTAAGGAACCAGCAAGTAAAACAGTCCTTTAAGAACTTAGTCAAAAAATATTTCTCAAATCAATTTTAACCATAAAGAAATTCATAGCCTGAAGTTGCAATGGAATATTAAGTGTAACACAATATTAACATTGTTCTGTTTCTCCATCCACGACTATATTTAACTTTCTTTCCCTGCAGGCTTTGCATTACACTTCTCACTGTGTAACGGAGATGAGAAAAGGATTACTCAAGGCACCATGAATGCGTTGAGAAGCCCAAAGTGTTCTGTATCCCAGAGAAAACTGGGTACAGCAGCCATTGTAGAGACAAGGAAGTTTCACAAGAAAATTCCATTGATTCAATCATGACAAAAGGACAGAAGGACATGAGCAGGGCTACAAAAGTTATCTATGGCTAAGTATAGGTTAAGCAATGGAAACTAGTAACATCAGTAAAATTAAACAATCATTGAAGAACTTTCCCTTCAGGCACCAAACAAAAGCTAAATAAAAGTTATCATTAAGCAATTCTGAAAAATACTCTTCCCAGTGCATAAGCACAGATACTAACATAAGCTCTTCTGGGAGGTAAAGTCTTCTACCTCTAGTATATTTCTATTTCTTTTGTCTCTCCTGTGGTTTTTGCATAGCAAATGTTGACCTATGATACTTGGTGCATATGTGTGATATCTTCATTGTGAATTTCATTCTTTAATATTATAACGTATCTTGCTTAATGCTTTTTTGGCCAAAATTCTAAAGTTACTAAAAGTCTGGTTTTGATATGTCGGGACTTAAAACCCTCACCACAAAGCATCTTTAATGAACTACACTGATGGTTGCTCCTTTCTGTTCCTTTCTGCTAATTTTGCTGATACTGAGCCTAGAGCTCATCTAAAGTTCCTTTGGAAAGAACCTGGCTTACCTTTAGTTTCCTGAGATCCAATTTCCTCTCTTTTCATTTTTCTGGCAATTCAAGCCCATATGCTTTCTATCTCCCAGGTAGTTCTCAAAATTTCTGGTACACTGATGATGATATCTTAAGTTGTTTTCTGGTGTTGGTATGGTTTTATTCTTTTTAAAAATATTGGTATTTTTATGCATATTGGAGGATGTGGGATTAAGCATATTTACATTGTCCACACCTTTACATAAACCTTTCTTAGAAGAGGTTGTTAAATACAACTCTATATTATAAGAATAAAAAATAAAACTGCTTAGTATTAATCTATTTACTTTGTTTCTCACTTCTTCCACAAGCAATGCATGAACACATGACATTTACTTTCAGAACACTTTTCTTTAATATTCATTTGAATACCCAGTGCTGGGGTTCTCTTTTCTCCACATTAAAAATAATGAGTTCTTCCAACAAGTGCTTATAGAAACAGGGTTATACATAATCAAAAACAGCTAAAAATTAACAAATTCAGTCTGAAAATATGAATGTTTAAAACATCCATATGATATTTCCATCTGTATGTCTCAGCAAAAAAAAAAA